TATGTATTTTGTCTATTTTTGCATGCGAAGGCTGAATGGTCAATTAATCCTCAGTGGACGTGTGACGCCATGATAAGGAATTTATTTCAGGAAAAACCTCCATTTAAGTGTATTCCCAAACAGGTATTGGCGGTGTCTTCAGATCGGGTGTACTCATAGTTGCAACCAGGCTAAGGGCAATTGCCATTTTGGATGTAACAATTTTTCCCTTGGCCTGTTTGGTAGTTGAACTATTGGTGATGGTAGATAAAAATAATTTAGTAACTAGTTAGTTTTTTTATTGTTTTGTTATTTCACATTTCTCATTTTATTATTGTTAGTTTTTTTTGTGTTTTTTTCACACTTATCTTTATTATTTTTTTTAAAAGCACTACAGTTGTCGTGTTTGGTGTTTAGTAAATCACATGCGACTATCAAAACATGTATAAAAACATTTTTTAAATGACACATCTAAAAAAAAACTGTTTACTCAAAATGTGAACATGTGTTTTGCGACAACTGTGGTGCTTTAAATATATTCAAATTTATTATAATTTAAAAATTCAATAAGGTATATAAATATTATATTAAATGGTGTAAGAATAAATAGGAGATCTTGCATATACTTGTAAGATTTCCAATCTCCAGTTCAGAAAATGGTAATTCCTCTTGCTTATATTCCTCTTATTATATCCTTGCTGTGTTAGACTATCAGTTATTGAGTGTACAGGTACTGCTAAGATTATCTTGAACATAATCAAAAGTTGTCGGGTTTAAAGCAGAGGAATTTCCTTGTAATTTTATAACAATTAAAAGTGTTGTTGGTAGTGGTAATAAGGTAAAAAAAATCGTTAATTGGAATTTTATGGTATTTTATTGTTGGGAATGGTGCTAAGGTAAAAATTTTAAACAGTTTGTTTTGGTGCTATACCACCATGAATGCCTTTACAGTGATATATACAGCATTGCTATGGTGAAACTAGTCCTGCAATTTGTATACTGAAATTGTCATTGTTTTCTCTCTCTCGCATAGACTGATGTCAACTCGACAATCAACTCTAATCCAGAACGACTTGTTTTGACTAATGTTACTCTGCAGGATGCTGGGAAATACACGTGTCTCGCGGGTAACTCTATCGGAATTGCCCATAGTAGTGCATGGGTTAATGTCATCCCACCTCCAAGTAAGTGTACAGACACATGGAACCCTGCTTCAAGGAACCTGGTCTCAAAATAGTGTGTTCTAATCTTTCATGGACAAAATCTTCACATTTTTTGTTATCATAATGGTAGCATAATATCACTGCTGTAATATTCATAACAAATTTAACTCGTATGATTTGATATGATAAAATCAGGAAATTTGATGCCATATCAGCTGAAATTGTGATATAATAAAAGTAGATATTCCGCGTTCACTTTCCCACTCATATTATTCTGAGTAGTGGAAGGTCTTATCTATCAAACATACCGACAATGTAATTGATGAATTGCTAATGAGAAAATCAACTAAATTAAATGTGAATATATAAAATTACGATAGAACTCAGAAAATAAATGCGTTTATAGTGCTACTTTGTACCCAAACCATAATTAAATTTCAATCTAGAAGAGAATTAAAATGCTCAAATCTTAACTGCATATTTATTTATTTAAGCACCCACACCTACAATGAACGTAACAACACCGTTCTTCACCTCAGCTGTTGGAGTCGACCATTCATTCAGTATTGAAGGTAGTGATACTGTGGTCATCGTTGGAATAATCGCCGGAATCTCTGTACTTGTCGTAATATGCTCCTGTATCTTTGTATGTGTCCGGGGAAAGAAACGCAAGGTTGTCAAATCGGCGGTTATCGTGGAAAATGGTCTTTATCACTTTGTTGATTCACGAACTGAGAGACCACATTTGAGAAGAACGGTAAATAATATTTAAACTGACCAATCCACTGCAAGATTACATGCTTTCCAATCAAACTGATCAATCCACTGCAAGATTACATACTTTCCAATCAAACTGACCAATCCACTGCAAGATTACATACTTTCCAATCAAACTGACCAATCCACTGCAAGATTACATACTTTCCAATCAAACTGACCAATCCACTGCAAGATTACATACTTTCCAATCAAACTGACCAATCCACTGCAAGATTACATACTTTCCAATCAAACTGACCAATCCACTGCAAGATTACATACTTTCCAATCAAACTGACCAATCCACTGCAAGATTACATTCTTCCAATTAATCTTGATTCATTTTGACCATTATTCAAATTACATATGTTTTAAACTGATTTCATTAATCATCCAGTAAGTGTCGATCCAATCCCCAGATTACTTTGCGATGAAATGGTTAATTTGCATAATAACATAATGTTAATACTAATTTCAGCTATCTGGTTCTTCCACTGGCTCTTCTGGTTCTCAGGCTCCTCTATTACGATTTCGAAGTCAGTTGTCTTCATCACTAACCATCTTATCAGAATATGAAGTGCCATGTGATCCAGATTGGGAGATCCCGAGAGATAAGTAAGTTCATTTATTTTGTTTTTTCAGTCATGACAAAAAAGGCAACAAATTGGACTTATTTCTCCTGTAAAAAAAACCAGTTCCTTTTTGAACTAGTCTTTTAAATATGTCTTTTAATGTTTCTGAAAATTCTTAGCTTAAGCTGTGATGAATCTGTATATAGAATATACTAAATTGTAGTTTCAATCCAAGAACCAATCTGAAATCGTCTCTGTTTTTTCAAAATCTTCCAACTCGTGTAATGCTTAGGCTGAGAAAAAAAAAATATCTCTGTTTCTCGTTTCCGCACGCATCATTTTGAACTATGCGCCTCGGATGTTTTTTTCCCTTCTAAAGCATTCCAAAATGCGCTTGTACTCGCACTTGTCTCAAATTTCTTCTATTTTAGAGAATTTTTTTTCCTGGCTTTATGGTGACAATTACATCTCAGCCATGTGGGAATACTGTAAACTGCATTAAATATGCGAAAGACAAATTTTCATAAATTTCATGAGTCTCTAAAAATCATGAAATTTTCATAGCAGTAAATGTAGGTTTTACAAATTGTAGCCTTGAGGAATACCATAAAATCATTAAATCACGAAACTTCCCAGCAATGGACATATTTCAAGTGTTACACAGTAAAATAACCATAAATACATTGGTTTTGCTCTTCAGAGCTCTGGTATGTGTAATCTCAACATTCCATAATAGGGTAACGCCAGCCTCAGGTGTGAACGTATTGTCTCCAGTCGGTCACCTTTCTGGTACATCTAGAAACCCTATAGATAGATACCTCAGTGACAATGTTCCATTATGTGCCCTGCTTATTTTCAGATAGCTGAATTTCAATATTCAAGTTGTCATTTTATTTTTTCCTCACAATATAGCAATATATAACCATTTCTGTGTTGGCGTATATGCCCTTCTTCACCCTAATGTAGCAAATTTGTGGTCCAATGATATGCATTACTGATGTTGACACCGGAAGGAAGCATTTCATTTACCTAATGGCCCTTAACCTTTGAAAACCCAAACATAATGCTATAATTTATAGCATTCTAGTGACGACAAGATACTACAGGTGTTTAACCTACACATCACAAAACAGTGGATATTAAGTGGGCTTTTAGTACAGTCGAGCATAACGAGCATAACCTGTTGAGCTATTGCAGCAAGATTGCATCATTTTGGTGCTTCTCAACAATAATACCGTAAAAAAATGTCTTTTGATCATGTTGTGATAATATGGCTGCTACAAAAAAAAGTATGAAGCTTACATAAGGAAATTAGAAGATTCTACCCAAGTTTTACTCCAAGAGAGAAATGTTCAAGTGTTCACCATGTGTATATAGTTTTCTGCTTTGTGCTTGGTGTAGATATCTAAACAGGGTCAATCAGGGTTAATATTTCTCTACGGAGCCATTGATTGAAAACATATTATTTTTCTTTTTTCTAACCGTGTGGCATTAACTCTTTTCAGACTAGAGTTAAAAGAACCGCTAGGTGAAGGAGCTTTTGGGCAAGTGATAAAAGCAGAAGCCAAAGGCATCTTTGGAAAAGATAAAACCACCACAGTGGCTGTTAAAATGCTAAAAGGTAAGGTACAACTTTATCGATTGGTTTGGTTTTCAAAACACCGTCTCCTACAACCAATCAGAATTGATGTTCTAAAACAAGTTAGATTAATTTTATTTGTAACTGATGCTAAGAATACCCCAGCTGAGAAAGATCATGAACGCAACATTGATTGTGTGGTGTTTGGTTAGAAATACAATAAGTAATTTAAAATGTAGCCTTTTTTTTCAACGTTCATGACAACTATGTGGGAAGCACCCGAAGAATTTGTCTGTCATGTTTACCAAAGATTATTAGAGTTAGTAGCGCTTGGTTGAATAATCATAAAACAAGATGTTTCTAAGTTAACAGATTTATTATTTGTTTAATTCGATGTATGGATTAGTAAAATGATAGTATAGATATTAACATAGCTGGCTTGGTTCCAATGCAGGCCGAGTGTTGTACAAGTATCTGACATCATTGGACAGTGGTACATTGTGCTTTTAAGTATACGTGTCTTATTGTTGTAATTTACACCTGGTACAAAATAAAATTTTCATGATTGTTAAAAAATGTTTCGTTATTTACAGTCAGTGCAACAGAGCGAGAGTTGTCAGATTTGGTTCATGAAATGGAAATGATGAAAACGATTGGAAAACATCTCAATATAATAAACCTAATAGGATGCTCAACTCAGGACGGTAAGTCAAATTTGGAGAATTATATTTCCTTTGCTATTAATGCTAAAAAATTTATATGACTTTCACTTAATTTGTTTTGTGAAATTAACCATTTCACCATTAGACTCTCACCCAAATTTGTCTTCACTTTTTTCTTGAATTTTTCAATATACCTGGAAATGACCCCTAATTTTAGAGCTAACTGACAAAATTTGAGTCAATTTTCAGATTTTACTCAAAAAATTTGGCTACCCCCCCCCCCCCCCCCCCCCGCAAATCTTCTGAAAGAAAGTGCAGACTATAGACCTTACCATTTTGTGAATTTGTGATGAAAAGATGGAAATGGTGGTGAGAATGTTGAAGCAGTTTACAATATTCACTAGTTGTTAGTTGTGCTGTTTTCACTGGATTAAATTCTTGTGAAATTACAATAGAGGCATTGTTAATTGTGTTTTAAAACCCAGTGAATATGCTTGAGATATTAAAGTAATGAAATAGAATACCAGTGAAAATGAATACTTTTTACCTTACAAACTAAACACAGTACGTGTACATATACAGTATATACTTGACAATTATTTTATTTAACCTTTTGGTCAAAACATTTACGAAAAATTTAATGATAAAAAAAAAAGTCAAACACTATACAATGTTACAATACATGTGGTTTTCCATATGCTTGACATGTGTTTTGTGTTTGTTCATGGCCACTGATCATGAAAATAAAACCCTGGATGGTAAAATTTCATAAAATTTTATCAGATAATTCCTGCATGTAACCCCAACATCTGAGATTTTCACTTGGTGACACAGAGCTATGCTATATAGTCACTACATTGATGTCAAATTGTTGCTTCCTGTAAAATAATAAATTTTCACTGGGATTCACCATTTCAGGCATATTCAGTGGCTTTTAAATTCACGGTTTTATCATTTAGATAATGTTTTCTATGCTAAATTTTACATATTCACTTTTAATTTAGCACATTTTCAAGTCAGCGAAATGAGCAAAATTAAAACCCAGTGAATAATTAACCCCTTTACAGTATATTTAAAGTAGACCACATCTTTCTAAAAAAGTAACCTTAAAACATGTAGCAAATATTTAAAAATGAGGACGTGCATGTCCATCATCCCCAGGGATATCGTCTACCAAAAGTTGGTTTAACCCATGACCTTGATTGCAAAATGGCAGCTGTCCTAAACTCTCCCAAATACAGAAACTCAACTGGTAGATGATAGTGGACTGTTAAACTTTATTGGGGTAGTTTTCATAGTGGAATTCTTTCATCAGTAACTCTTAAAAAATCCTTCCTTCCTTTGTATGATTGACGACATGAGTGTAAAGCAGGGCACCAGACAGCTGTTCTTCTCAGAATTCCTCCCAGTATTCACATATAATGAAAGTATGTTGTTTATGTCCTTGTTTCTTCAGAAGCTACAGACATTATTGTTATTTGTTACTGCAACTAGTTGTAAGCTTTTCATACAACTTTAAAAATAACTGTCACTGATAGTTGTAGCTATTACCCCTGACTACTTATTTGAATAAAAAAAAACTTGATGTATCGGAACTACTTTTATGGCTTTCAGGCGTATAATGTAAAATACTTTATTATTGCTTGGAATTAATTTTTGCTGAAGGAATGATTCAGGAAAAATAAAATCCAGCGAATATGCCTTTTTTCCTATATACTTTCCATAGATTCATTTGAATCTTCAATATCTAGAATGCTAGTGTTTTTCAATTTTTACGCATTTTACTACAGGTTATCTTTGTCTATTTTTAAATCAACTTTGTAGGTTTTGCTGTCTGGCTGATGTCTGGTGCCAGTGGTAGCCCTTAAAACAATAGTCTGTCTCTAATTAGTTGTACTAATGCCCTTGAATAACCCTGTAACATGTATCAGATATCTAATTTTCAATAAGGGATGGGTGTGGGAAGTACTTGCCCTTCCTTTAAATGTGTTATTAATACAGGCTATTTTCCTGTCTAATTTCCTATGGACAACCTTACCCAGTTTTATGTAAACTTGTGGCTTTTCTTAGACCATTAGGTACATTTTAATATTGAAATAAAGTACTTGTAACAAGGTATATAATACAATAGAAAGTTATTTCTGCAATATGCATGTAAGCAGTGTCAAATTATACAGTCTTAATAGCCCGAAATTATGAAAAAACTTAAATATAGTGTTATGAATTTGTCATGTAAATAAATTAAAATTTAATAACTATAATGCTGTGTGACATATCACCTGCAGTGCCTAGATCACTCAAAGCCTTTATGTATGTGAACACGTTTATTTCCATTTTTTATAGGTCCATTGTATGTTGTGGTTGAGTTTGCCCCACATGGTAATCTCCGCGACTTTCTGCGATCTAAGCGTCCTCCGAACCCAGACTACGATTGTGAGAAGACAAGATTGGTGAATAACTACGAGCCATTACTTAACAAGCATCTTGTATCCTTCGCGTATCAGATTGCAAAAGCCATGGAATTTCTCTCTTCCAAACGAGTAAGTATTAAATTCACAGGAAAATTAAATTCTTTGTCTGAAAGAATGCGGGCGAATAATTTCATATCAAATAATGAAGGCTTCTTATGTTGCTGAAAAATAACTTTTAAGTCATGACCTTGCTTTAATAATAATAAATACGCTGTTGTTAACAAGAAACTTTTAATCGTTTGACAAGAAGTGCTGGAGGGGGCAATGTCATGTATGTGTGCTGTGTTCATATTGTAATCAATAAGTGGTCAATTCATTTCAGTGCATTCATCGTGACTTGGCAGCTCGAAATGTACTCGTGGCTGAAAATAATATTATGAAAGTTGCTGATTTTGGACTTGCCAGAGATATACAAAATATAGACTATTACAGAAAAACTACAGATGTAAGTATGATTTATTTTTCTTATAAGGAGTCGGGAGCACACCACTTTTCATGGCTGTAAAGATGATATAACGCCAGCTATAAATCTTTTATGTTTCATCAAGTTAAGACTGTTCAGTTGTGTAATACAGTAGAAATTCAGGTCAACACATATCCGGAGAGTTATAGAATGTGCTACTAAGCAAGCAAATATTTTAAATATCCATTATTTTTCAATGTCTTAAACAGGGAAGGTTGCCAGTGAAATGGATGGCCCCAGAAGCATTGTTTGACAGAAAATACAGTACTGAGAGTGATGTCTGGTCATTTGGAGTATTGCTGTGGGAAATCATGACATTAGGTGGAACGCCATATCCATCAGTTCCCGTCGAGAAGTTATTTGACTTTTTAAAGTCCGGAAAAAGGATGGAACAGCCAGTGAATTGTCCAACAGAAATGTAAGTTTTCGTCAACAATTGTCAATCCTCGTCCTTATGAGTTTATCTCTGCTTCCTTGATTTTTAGTTGTTCATAGTTTTCATATTTTTCATTATTTTTACTTGCATTGTGATTCATCGCTCGTATGTGTGTGTAAATAAGTATGAAAACTGATCATGATGTATTTGATTTATGCATCTGTGCAATACACTGTCATATATAGAACACTACAACCTTACCGGATGTCTTCCAAGAAAGGTCATGTGACTGGGACAGGATAGGCTATAAACTGACTTTTAGTGGAGTATTTTGTGGACCAAAAAATGAAATATCTCCTGTGTACATCTGGTTTTCATTAAAATTATTCCAAAACACCATCAGGGGATAGAGATCTTTCAACAGCTGTATAGGAATAGGCAATTATACAAGAATATGACCTCGGATGATTTATCATTGTATTGTCTTGAGAACCACCCCCCCCCCTCCCACATATGTTTGAATCGGGGTGATTCCTTCTCAGCTGATGGATGTCACTTTTCATGTTCATACTTACAAAACTGTACTGTAAATTGAGAAATTTACACCTGCCAAAAAAATTTTTTTTGGTCTTAAAAACCATCAACCATTATCATTACTACACTAACACATGCACACCATATTTGTGGAAAATCTTGCAACAAACCAGTACACGCAGATATTCCAAAAGTTAATCAGAGTATGATATTTTGTGTGCTCTTTTAACAATGCAAGTCATAGTTTGTTGTGAAAATCCAGTTAAAAGTTAGTTCTTCCATAAATTAATTTCTCAATAAATATTCTTGTGTTGTGATACAAAAATGCAACAAATAATCTATTTACATGGTTCATAGCGTGTGAAATAAGAAGCTACGTCACCTCACGTCTATATTTTGAGTGATTACAATTATATAATAATGGTTTCTTTATTTTCTATAGATACCATATCATGAGAGAATGTTGGCAAAAGTTACCGAAACTCAGGCCGACCTTTAGAGAACTGAGAGAAGATGCCGACAGGATAATCTCTCTCTCATCTAATACGGTGAGTATTTCACTTGCATCTTGATTGATTTATTAATTCATGATTTGATTATTACGACAAGGCTTTCTGTAAACGAACTTGAGCTTTTAAATTGTAATAAAGCTAAACAACACTTCCCATTTTTTGACTCGAACAGTTCTGCGAACTTGAACTCAATGTAAATATACTCCCAGAACCCATGCATGATTCTGCCGAGACCACTTATAGTTGACCTTGGTTAAATGAATGTGTTTGGATGCACCTTTCAAAAATTGTCCAATCAGACTTGGTGCATCTTATGCAATGAACAAAATGGCTAAATTTGGAATTGTCTAAGAGGGCGCACTCTAATACTAATGATAAGATGTGCCAATATATAGTGGCGAGGAAATGCCGAGTAAGCAGACCAACTAGTAAAGATGAACAACTTCCTTTAATAAATATTGATTCCGCCATTAGTTCTGGAAATAACAACTTCAATAACTGCGCCTGTTATTGTCAAAAAGCATAAATTGTGCGTAAATTGATATATTTATATGCTAAATCAAACGATTCAGCCATCATGTCATTCTTAACCTTTGACCCTGCAACGTGAACCCTTACTAAGAAAAAGAAACAGCTGTAACCATTCACATGTATTAGAATAACTTTTAACATTTTGAGTCGCGTGCAACGTAAATAATGTAGTAAGGTTTAAACGTACGCTTTGGTATGACTCCAAAGTATTTGATTTGGTCTGTTCTTTCTTGTGTAATTAGAACACAATAAAATAATGTAGTGGACATACACCATGATTATTTATCTCTCTCATACTAGCCCCTTGTAATATAAAGTTTCCAGTTATTTGTGCTTCTCTCAGAATATGTGGCCAGTTTTATTGACAAAGATCTGTATACTAATTTTGCAGGAATATCTTGATCTTGATGCTGTCGGTGACGCACCAGAGAACACGTTTCTAGACAGTGACTACCTGATTGACTCTGATTCCGGCAACTCAAGTGGAAGTGGACACAGTGGTGAACGTGCAGAACTTTGCCGACATGTCTCAACGAGTGAATCAACGGCGACTCGAGACAGTGCATTTCATGATTGCGGTGAGGGCTCAATGAGCTCTATTGACACTAAAGGACAAACGCATACAGCCATCGCTCACACGCAAGATGTGATTGAAGGACGTACGCAGCGACTTAAAAGCATTGAATCTACCGTTTAGATGAACTACGTCCTAACCACATGTGCGATCCATGACTCACTATGCAATGTGTATATGATTCTACAGCAATCATGGACTATGTCGACCGTTCTCCCAATCAGAAAGTGTGGACCAGTTATTTATCACAGGCTTTTGGGGGATGGCCTTTCGTGAAGAGGAAGAAAAAAAACCTGTTTATATATATATATGCTACTTTTGTTGGTTTGATACCACGAGAGTTATACAGGTCTACAGAATGTACCGTCTCAACATTACATAATAGACCAATATGCAAATATCTTCCAGTGATTAGCTGCTACACTGCCATTGTAGACACCAGTACTGCCAGTATTCATGGAATATTATGATTTTTAAGACGACATGCCTTACAAAGTGACAATGAGACACTTTCCTTGCATCTTCATGATGCGTATACTTGCAAAATCTAAATCTCTGCCAAAATATGATAGAGTGTAATTTTTATAATTAAAAATGATTCAACCGGAGTGATAATTGAGAACAGTTTTGTTTAATTGTACAAAAGTATTTTATAATCATGTTGTTTGTTTTTAAACAAGACATCTAATCTGTTTTCTGACCATATTTAGATAGTTAAGAAGTTAGTTAGTTCATTTTCCAAGTTGTCTTGAAGTATAGTGTTGTCACCAGTGCATAACAATAGGTTAATTGTTATGGTACAGTACAGTACAAAGCTCTGGGGAAAACAGTGGATTGCTTGGATCATCTTTTGAACTACTGGAGAAACTGATAACAAAATCAGGACAACTATTTTTACATTATTTTTGAAAGTCACAAACCCAGCAATTAAAAACTTAGCAATGTACCAGACCAAACCGTTTTAATTTCTTATATTCAACGCATTACTTAATTCCAGTATTATCTGTCTTTCCTAGGAGCTAGTTCCCATGTATGTTATTTAGTTAATAGTTAACCGACAAATTACAAAAAAAAGTGTGGTGTTCACACTAGTAAAGCACAGATGATTTAAAAGTTTACCTGTCAGTGAACTAGCATCGACTAAAAAAAGGATTGATACTTGGTTCCAATCAAGTTACAGTATGATATAGTTATATTTAAAAGTGAGCTCAAGCACTGCCAACTTGTAGTGTACTGGTTTCATAACAGTGATGTTTATATTTTATACAAATACTATATGTCCAAGAAGGGTTTTGGTGCGGGTTCTATATGATGTGTGGCTAATATAGAGATTGTAAATTTAAAAGTAAGCTTACATCACACTTTTTCGACTGAAATGCGTTTTAAAGTAAATTTGACGCAAAACTTCATTCGCTACCTTTTCTTTAAAGTTAAAAAAAAAACAGTGATAGTTCCATTTGTAAAATGGAATATTTTAGTCAGGTGTTCTGTTTCGTTTTTTTTTTAATAATGGTTGTTCTGTTCTTAATGAATAGAGTGGATATTTTTCACAAGTTTCGAAACAAATTGTCATTCATAGATGAATGTCTACTGATGGCAAGTTTTGTTATCCCAAAGGTTCTGTACCTGGGAATACCTTCAAGATGGTTTCGTGTGAAGAAACGTGGAATCAAGATCAATTATTTAATGTGGCAGTGGGCACTGTCTGTACAGAAAAATGCCCTGATTTTTTTTTTCATTTTTTCTTGTTTCAGGAAAAAGATATCAAAGTAAATGTGCAAATTCCTCAGAAAAAATGTTTATGTTTGGCACTGCCCCAGTATATTTTAATACTGCTTTTCACTGCAATTGTTACGGCGTTTTGGTGCCAGTTTTTATTTTTATACTATCCTTCAACAATCATGTTTAAAACAAGTTAAATGACTGCCTCTTATTGCAGCTTTTTACTGCCAGTTTCAGTAAATGTTTTTTAAGTTACGTTTCACATCTTAACCATTTTGTAGACTATTTTATATTTCTTGTACAGAGATCGGATATTTTAGTAGTAGTTTTGTATTGTAAAGTTTTTTGAGTACAATAAATAAGTTCTATTATAATCTTAAGTAAACATAAATGTCTTGTAAATTGTTTTATTCATTCCCCTATGTTTGACCATTCAAAGAGAAGTTTAAGGAAATACTGAAAAGAAAACAAGTAACCCAGGCTCATCATTTTGGGAGAGGTGGCTGGTGTGTAGCATGCCTTCAAATTTTATGTAATCTGTAATTGCGTGCATGTGACCTCCACTGCCCTTTTAAAAGTATGGGTATCAGTCTTATTCAATGTTATGTAACATTATGTGGCCCCATCCATAGTACAATCAATTTCAGTTTATTTTTGCACAAAGATGACGCATGTTTACATTTTTGGCTAAACCAGTATGCACATTTTCTGATAACTTTCGGTCACTGATCAACACTGGCTTGCGCACTGCTGGGACACCAATACTGATAAGTTGTTTTTATTAACGGGGACACTTAAACAGTGATGAACACAGTTATTTTGTCTTTGCGTGAGAAAGGTGGGTTCTTGCCAATCAGTCACTGCATGCACAGGAAATGTGAACAAGTGCTACAGCCTATAGTCTATTAAAAATTGCCAACTTCTAGATTGTAAGTGATTGGACTGTTGAAACATGAAAAAATGCATACGGTTTTTGAGTTTGTGCTTTATGAGAGAGATGCATTGTTTTGATGACCACCGACCGTCTTTGACAACTATTCTCATCTAAGATGCACACGTGGCTTTTATACGAATCTTTGCGCTACAGTCAAATCCCAAGAATATGCTTTCATATGGCTATAGAAGCCATTTGGTATTCGCGTTACCCATGAGTCTTTGCGAGTATCTTTCAATTACAGTGAAAGCTGTACCTTATGAATATCGATTATCAGCTTTCATGCAAATTGAAGTATTTAAAGTGGGAGAGTCATCACCTGCGCATGCGTCAAATGGCCATAGCGTGTGATTGTTTACAAACAAGCGTCTACTCATGAGCTTTTGCGTTTTTACTCTGTCAATTTCCGCGCAGGTGACGACCTTCTCGTTTTGATAATAATTGGCACAGAGCTCCACATTTTCTACACCCACAATGCATGCGCAAGACTTCAAGTGATATAGCATCTGCGATCACCCACTTATTCAAAATGAAGGGCTTGCTAATTAGATGATGTTGAACTAGCTCATTAATATTAATTAGATCTCACAATTATTTCACCATATTTTTCTGGATTAAATAATTTGAATTCTACCAGTCATTTTGATTTATAAAAAAATATATCTATACCGGTAAAACGTTTATAACGTCCCCAGCTTTATGCCCTTCACTGTACATTTTGACACCTTATGCACGGTTACTAAAAGTAACCGTGCCTTATGAGACTTTGTTGATCAATAAATGTCCAGTAATTTTCTAAGCAGTAGCTGAAGGTAATCATAACAATGTTACCAAGCCAGACTTTGTGTCATCAAACCACACCTGCAACGTGTTCATTACATTTTGAACTTCGGATTATTCAACTGTTGCTCAGAATAAGGGCTTGACCATTATAAATTTGGGGTGACTGAGGAATCTTTTGGAAGATTCACATACGTCTATCGACCACGGACCTCGTCGCAACTCGTTTCTCAGTTATTTTATAATATATGCAAGTTGTTGTCTTCATTCATAAAATGATTCCCTTCACAAGGAGCCAAGGAACTGCGCACCTAGTTGACTGTATCGACTGATATATCGTGTATGACAAAAATAGACAGATGCGTAAGCCCACATCTACAAATACGTTCGTAGTTCCTAGCTCATTGCACTCTATAAAAAAAAAACTCACTGCAGTAAAGCTAGAAAAAAAAACATGAATGTAATGAACACGTCCCTTCCACAGTCGTCTTTTGGTGACACAAAGTCTGGCTTTACATCCGATATGATTGCTGTTTTGATTTTTACTGACAACTTCAACGAGGCAATTGATAAATATCTACTAAGAAAGTTGTTAATAAAGATAAGTGTTGTTACAAGTGTGTCGTTATTTACTAGAATGTCAACACAGTCGTTTTGGCGGAAATTGGAGGGATTATAGTTATCAATGTTTCAGTTAAACTTTTCGCGAAGTGTCATTAAAGAGTGGTTAAACAAACAAATACCTAGCATGGGTGTACTGTTTAATACTGGTATATGTATGCCCTCTCTACGTACAAATATAGAGGATATTCTGACGTAATTTGCCGTAACAACTACTAGTACAAGTATTCTATATTCGACCGCGGACTGAAATCAACTTCTCAATTTTTCATAGAAAGTCCATGGCGCGTTCATGCGATGCGAGAGGCGCGGTAAAACTTGTGGATGAAAGTCCATGGCGCGTTCATGCGATGGGAGAGGCGCGGTAAAACTTGTGGATGAAAGTCCATGGCGCGTTCATGCGATGGGAGAGGCGCGGTAAAACTTGTGGATGAAAAGACGCGAATAATTGCAAAAGTTGATACGAAATCTATCGCGATGCATAGATATGTAAATTCCACGGTCGGCACATTCTTCAACACGTTTTAACGTGACACTGAGGGCGCATTCCTGACAAAAGACATTCTGACATTTGCTAACCTTTCATAATTGTTTTCGTTCCCTCACGATTATAATTTTTAAATATCATTTTTATATATCAGGTGGGTCAAGCGTGTTCACCATGGGACGAGGCGGAGTCGAAAACTCACGTGACGACTCAAACACAAATGCCGATAGAGTTATGTAAATGAAACAATGTCATTACGGGTCAGCTAGGCATTGCATCAGTGAAAACCGATATCTTAAGTATTCCAGTATTAAATATGTAAGAATTTAATAAAGAGTGAGTTGTTAATATTATAAAAGTTGGACCTATTTCGGGACCCGTTTAAACTCTGACTTTGCTGAGGTTGAATCGACCATGAAATTAACGCAGCTATGTTGTATGGGAATTATAGAATGGAAGATGGTATGTCCAGACAACTGAGTTTATATAATGCGTGTATATTTTTTTAATGTTCTAGCGGTTACAAACGTTAAAAACGTAGTTGAAGGAAATAAAAAAAAACAGCGCAATCGTCATTGTGGACAGTCAGAACAATAACTTGGATAGGACGTTGTATTATAATGAGAATTGGGACACTTCGGCATAAATGTATAGCGTCCTCTATAGCCCGAGTTTCGACCCGTCGATCAACCATAATTCCGCAATTCAATCTAATTTATAAGAAATCTCAATTTAAAAATTCCTTTATTCATATAATATCTGTAAAATGTTATCTGGAATTCGTTACAAACCGGTGTAGTTTCCCGCCCGTGTGTCAATTGAGTACTGACTGAATCCAGCGAGTAATGTATTCACTATACAGCCAGCAGTTCTCGCTGTCATGGTGATATGCGAGTACCCTAAACACATGAACTCAAGTATGGATCTGTTTCCAATATACAACCCCGCCGGCCAAAGAAAACTTTCAAATTACTTAGTACAGGTAAAGAACGGCGACCATTAATGACGGTCGCGAATCGTGCCACGCGATTGGGTAACAAAAAATGATCATTTGTACTGATTTTTAAATCGATACTTTTAGTTTTAAGACATCACTATTTTTTTAATAGTGACCCGCGAATTTACTAGCGATATTGCGAGGCAAAGAACAGAACAATGAATTTTACCATTTTACATCCCGAAAATTGACGATTTGTGTTGTATTTGTGTAAATTCAATGTTTTTAAAAACCACCCTTTTCAGTTTTCGCGGACTTACCAAAAATATCCATTTTCCGCGAAATTCGGAACATCCATGCGTGTTACTCGGCTGGCCATGTGCCACGTTTACAGCCCCGAAGTATTGCGTGTCATGTACAACATACTATATTCACACGTTGACGGCGCTCTTCCCATCTGTAAACTGAAATCAGCTTGAATAAGGGTCTGAGACGGAAATCAAAAACCCCATCCTTTGAAATATAATAACTTTAAACATTTGCTGCAGAATCATTCCGGTGAAATGGGTTTCTGACTCTTGAAAATGAAAAATATTTGATTTCGCTGTAACTTTATGAGGATTGCTTTCGTCTATACAATAATTAGAATTTGAAGTAATATTTGATCGTCAGATAATTGAAGTTACAGCACGTTTTACGTCTGCTGCCATGCAGAAAGCTATCGCTGAGCGTAGTGACGTCATCAATCAGACACATGAAGGCGCATTTCTTTTTTGTGCCGGGTGGGTTGCAGTCCCCTATGTAGTACTGATATATAATATTCATGCGGTTGTTCACTCAGCGGCAGCTGACATAGCGAGGCAAATAACCTCTCTGCAAAGGTTGTAAGAATTCCTGGGGAGAAAACCGGCCTGTTTCGAAATGAAGATCTGCTCATTGGCTCAGACATCAATAATGAAGTTAATTACAGTTTTCTAAGTATATATATTTTCCGTTAGTTCAGTGTCTGTAAAGTGCGTTTTTTGGCTGGTTTTATCTGTTATTCTTTCTTGAAAATTAGTGTACATTCTATTGAATGTGTTCTAGATTTCTCGTCTTTCATTCCCATATAATATAGATTTCGTCTTCAGATATTTTGCTTTTATCAACTCTAGTTTTAGGACGTGTTTGTCCCCTGACTACCATGTGTAGGTTATGTAGGCCTAGCTATAAATGGCTAATGTTATAAAAGTTTGACATTATTTTTTCATGTTTTAATGAAATGCGATTTGTAAGAGTCAGTAGCGCCTAGTTTTCTCTTGTTGCCTTCTGAAAAATTCCAAATCTTTGTATAATGCTCTCTTGATATGTAATATAATTTTTCATTGTCACTAAATACTGCGTATAAGAAATGCCATTGTTTGATATCACAGATACAACGAGTCCTTGAGTGAAATTATCAGTTTTACGCCCCCAGCGGTGGGTACGGGCTGGTGAAAACGCTAACATTGACTGAAATACGAGTATAATACAGAAGCATACCGTGTTCGTCCCTTTAGTTAACAAACAAAACTAAATAACTAACGAACCAAATGAATAAATAAACAAACAAACAAGTAAATAAATAAATAAACATTTATTTATTGCGGCATATTTCTGCCCACCAGTCTCGAGTAATACAATGTGGGTTGTAACCATAACAACATCAACAGTACACTAATAAATTTATGATTTATCCGTTACTGTTTGTGACAGCGCAGACGTTCTCTGATGACTTGAAGGCAGCCTACGCAAAGTTGTCAGCTTGAGACGGGATAATTGTGTGGAAATTTACAATCCTCTGTGTCAATGAATTTCCATCTTCCTTCAACCGTTAGCCTGACAAGTAGGCGTAGTAGCGCCCTCGCCGGGCGAACGGCATCAGACCTCACTAAGTTGGGTTTGGAGCACCGCGGAGGGCGCAACTCGCGCGACTCGTCGAGCTACCTTCAACTTGTGTTTCTGCGGAAATATGTTGAGACTAATATAGCTGGGTTGTGTTTATTGCTAGGAGCATTCCAAATATAACATGCTTAAATATTATAAAGCAGAATAAAATCGGATTTGTTTGAGTAGTGTGTGTTTTGAATATTATAGAACATCATAGTCCTATCCGCGAAGCAGTGATGTAAAAGTTAATCTGACCAGTAACCTGACTGTTACTCTGTCTT